TTTAATGCTTTTATTGTTAGTGAATATTTTATAGTGTAACATTTACATTTCTTTAATGATTTTTAATTGTATATTTTTAGTGATTTTCTTGGTACTTTTATTAAGCCTTACAATATACAATTTAACTTATCGTGTCTACTTCAAATTTATACTAACTTAAGTCTAGTAAAGTATGGAAACGTTACTTCTATATAGCATTATTCCCTTTCCCAATTTTTATACTATTAATATTAGACTTCTATACATGTTACAAATCCAACTGTTGTCACTGTAATTATTATGTTATAAAATTGTAAGTTTTTTTTTAAAGAAACTAAGAATGGACATATTCATAGCATTTGTTATATTTCTATTTATCATTTATAGCTTTCTTCATTTTTATGGATTTTAGCTACCATGTGGGGTAATTTCACCTTTGCGACTTTGCTCTCACCTGCCTCCTTGTGCTCTTGTTGTCAGATATATTTCTATATGTTTTAGATCCAACCATACAACTATATATTTGTGTGTGTGTGTGTATATATATATATATATATATATATATAAAACAATATATGTATGTGTGTATATACATAACAATATACAAATAAAATGAACAATTATATTTATAATTGTGCGTTTATGTGGATAGATAAGATAGAAAGCAGGGGGTTTATATATGTATATATATGTTTATATAATTAATTCTTAAATTAACTAAGAGAAAAAATGGATTTGTACTGATTAATAATTACATAATTGCCTTTACCAGCACTGTTTTTTAATGCTAAAAATCATGGTGATCTCTTGCCTTCAGCCTAAAAAGTACTTACTTTAGTAGCTCTTAAAAGGCTGCTAGAAATAAATTATTTTAGCTTTTATTGATCTGGAAACATTTTCATTTCACCTTCAGTTTTGAAAGATTATTTTTCTGAATTTAAGATTTCTGAGTTTCCTTTTTCTTTTTCTTCTTTCAGAACTTTGACAATATCATACTATTGCCTTTTGGCTTCCATTGTTTCTTATAAAAAGTCCATAGTTAAATTTATTGGGGTTCCTTTGGATATGACTCACCATTTTTCTTGATTTCAAAAAAATATTTCAAGAAAACTTTTCTCTGTCTTTAGATTTCAGTAGTTTTACTATGATATGTCTGGATGTGGACCTCTTTATGTTCATTGGACTTCTTGGATATGTAGATTAATATTTTAAAATCAAGTTTTAGAAGTTTTAGCCGTATTCTAATATTTATTTTCTGCCTTTTTCTCTCTTTCTGTCTCTTTCTTTTCTTGTACTCCCCTTATTTGTGTTGGTGGACTTAATTGTATTCCTCAAATTTTTGTAGGTCTGTTCACTTGTCTTCATTTTTTTTTCTGTTTTTCAGATTACATAATCTGTTGAGCCACCGTAGTAAAATTTTTTTTTGTTTCACTTATTGTATTTTTCGGTTGCAAAATTTTTATTTGGTTTTATAGAAAGAATTTTTATATCTTTATTGATAATCTTTATTTGAAAAGGCATTATTATCATGCCTCTAAATGTATTTTATTTCTTTTAAGCATATTTACTTATTAAAGCTTGATTTTCTTTCAACATATTTATGATACCTGCTTTGAAGTCTTTGTCTGTTTAGTCTGTTTTCTGGGCCCTTCGTATATCAGTTTCTGTTGTCTGCCCTATTTTGTATATAGTTTACGTTTTTGTGTTTCTTTGCCTAATAATAACATTTTGTTTAAAATTAGACATTTTAGGTAATATATTGTAACAATCCTGGATGCTGTAGCCCCACCCAGAATTTCTTGTTGTGATCTGTTTGTTCATTTGTTAAACAACTTGACTGGATTATTGGACTATTGTAGTGAAATCTATTTTCCCTGCATTGTACAGCCTCTGATACTGCTCTTCAGAGCATCCACCTTTGGCAAGCAGTAGTTGCTCTTGGGATGGCAGTGGTTTAAGCAGGGCTCCCTTTGACTGTCTTCTCTGATTTCCCTGTTAAGCTGTCTGAACTTATTTAGTATCAAACTCAGTGTAAGCCTATATTGCCAGTTGATTGCTCTATTGTCTTCAGCAATGCTCTGGGACATAAATTGCTCCACAGTCTGATTCATTTTAAGTTGGGGCCCTTTCCAGGATAATCTTTGAGACCAGTGTGTGCTGTTTGCTCTAATCCCAGTACTCTTGTTAGCTCTTTTTCTGCTTCTCTCTGGAAAACTTCCACCTGATCTTCAGTTTATCTTTTTAGTCTCATGGAGCTACCATCTTCCTCTTCTTGCTTAACACCATAATCTCTTCTGTTTTTAACAGTGCCTTTAGACTTGAAATTCCCCACACTCTGTTTCATAAAGTCAGTTCACTTTGCAGGGATGAGGGGAACACTTCAGTTTATATGTTCATATGGGCTACCTTTTACCTTGGTCAAAATCACTGTGCCACTGTTCTAGATCAGAGGAAGGAAGCCTGGCTCCGTTTTTTTCAGAGTGACATTCACAAACAGAGAGCTCAGCTGTGACAGCAGTCTCTAGTCTTCTCAGCTTGCCTCATCTGACACATCTTACAAGTGATCTGCAGTAGGAGCTACCAAGGATCTGGTATTCTCTACCTGTTGCAACTTGATTAGAGCTTCTGCCTGTCAGTGGGAGCTGGGGGGATGAAGAAAGCCTCTGATCTCTCAACTATTCTTTCCTGACATAATACCCTCTGAAACATGGTGGCTAGCTAAAGATGTGAGGTAAATGTATGCATTTCTTGTGAAAATACTGTAGTCCTCAACTGGAACCTGGTGGGAAAGGGATCCTGTGTTCTTGGCTGTACCTATTCAGAGTGGAACTTCTGTCATGTTGAACTGGGGTTGAGGGAGGAAGGGAGGAAAGAAGAGAGAAAATTGGGATAAATTGCAAAGATTCACTATTAATACTGAGATGTAATAGATTTTCTTGAATAGATGTTTATTTTGCTGTATGCCCTTTGGCCAATTTCCAGACATATTTAACTTAAAAAAATATTGTTTCACTGGGAAGAAATTCCACAGAATTTCTCACATCTCTATTCCAGAAATCATCTCCCCAAACATGATCCTTTTCAAATCTACCTTTCTGCTCAAAGTTCTACAACAACTTTCCATCTCAGTGACCCTCTTTCTGTTTTTCAGCCATGCCAGATGTGATCTTGTCTCATGAATCATACTTCTGCCTGTTTCTTCGTGCTTGGTATTTGGTCTGACTAGACTGTTTTTTTCTGAGATGCTCACTATTACCTTGTCTTTTCTTAGCAATATTATCCCCAGCCAGTAAATTGTAAAAAGCAATTTACTTATTATATATTTTGTGTTTTATTCCTATATTATCTATCTCTACATAGTAGAGAATATAAGCTTCATCATATTAGAGACTTTTTCTTCTCTTCCCAGGGCGCATATTGAGCATTTGCAGGATATTACTTTTCCCTTTGACATCCATTATTTTCTATTCTTTTAGCAATTGACTAAAAACTAGAGATTGTATTCACACTTTTTTGTGGCTAAGTATATTCATCAACTACAATTTTTTGTTGTTATTACACTGGAAAGTGAACAGAAGTAATGAGTACAACTTTGGCTTTATGTGCTTAAATTGTTATTGTTCCCCCTTTGTTTTCACATTTTCTTATTTGTTGGGCTAGAACACATTCATCACATAGCTTATGGCAGTGATTTTGGATATGGTAAAACAAAATTGAATGACTTTATAGAGCAGAGCTACTTCACTAGCCTAGACTGGTCAGCATGAGAAAGTAAAATAATAAATTTTATTATCTTAAAATATTTTACTCTAAATAATTTGTATGTCATCAATAAAAATATTTTGAATGAAGGACTAAATAGATGGAGTCTACTTAAAACATCTTAGAAGTGAGAAGATTGCTTTCCTTGGTTAATTTTGTTTTATTTATACTATTGAATACTAATGGTAACCATCTACCTCATTTATCATTTTACTTCAAATGATTGTTTTATCACACAGAATGGATGTTACTGATTTTTGGTAAATCATCTCCATGATAGATGTGGTTTATTTTGATCCTGTTTTACAAAGATTTTTCTATAGATATAGGTTGCTAAATTTTATCCAATGCCTTTTCTGTATCTACTTATATAATGACACTTTTTTCATCCACTAATTTGTTGATGTAGTGAGTTTTACAATACATGATCTTAGTGTTACTAGTTTTTGCTTACATTGCTAAATTTTTTTCACTAATATTTAGATTTTTTTTTTTTTTTGCCTGTGTGCAAAGCTGACATTGGTCTATGGTTTTCTTTTTATTGCCTTATTAGACCAATAGGCATTGTAGTACAATGTTGAGTAGGTTTGATGAAAGATTACATCCTTTCTTTGTTTTTCATCTTAGAGGGAAAACGTGTACTTTTTGATCATTGAGTTTGATGTTAGCTTTTAGATGTCATTTACTGGGTAATATTTTTGATCCTTTGGGTTAAATAAAGCATACTATTAAAACTAAACTCACCTGTTTTTAAAACTTCTTTTAGTATTGCTAATCAAAAATTTAAAATTATTTTTGGCTTATGTTGGACATACTGCTCTAGAGTATATTTCCTAGTTTGTAATGTAGTACAAATATAATTTTTGTGATATAGTAATAACTCTTACCACATTTAAAAATTCACTTCTTCATTAGGACAGGAAAAAAGACTCCACAGTGGTTACCTGATTTTTCTATAGATAACTTAGTCGTGGTCTCCTTCCCATTATATGTTAAAATGCTTACTTAGATGCAAGTACAGAATTGTTTCTAGATTCATATCAGCTAGAATTTCTCAGCTTTCATTTATCCTCTGTTCAATGTTGATGAACAAACATTAGTTACTAAGTAGCATTATACAGCAATAAGATATAAATAAATATATTATTACATTCAGTTTACCACCATGTTTTCTAAGATGTAAGGGAACTCATGACTAATTTTCACATTTTTTAATGGCAAGAAACTAACAAATAGTTTTCCCCTCCCCTTATATTCAGCCCTGTGTTTTTGCATAAAAAACGTCAGGAAAAAATTATTAGAGGATATGAAACAAAATGGATTTACATAACCGAAGGATATGAACATAAGCTCCTTAAGGATCTCTTTTTCAAGCCTGAAACTAATATAAAAGGAAAGCTTGCATATTGGAAACATGTAAGTATAATTAGTTTATTTTTCTTTGAAATGTTTTTAAGATATTAAAATTATAATTTAGGTAGCACTATTATTTCTTCAGTCTCTGTTAAATTTCCTTCATTGATATGCTTCATATTTTCTTGATTGAAAAAAGTCATATAATAATATAGTTAAAAATATATTTTTGTGGTACATTAATGTTATACCACAACCATTTAATAATTTATGCTTTATATATATAATTTTTATTTCGTTTTTACAAGTAGTAATAGTAATGTAAAACCACTTCTCAGTGATTGAAAACATAAATATTTGTTTGCAAAAGAGTGGTAATTCTATGTATAACACAACATTCATTAATTTTTTTATGCTATATTATAAATTGCTTTGAAGACACAATGGAACTAGAAATTTACTTATGTTGTAAATTATGTAAGAAACTGACTTGTTAGTTTAGCTACTATGTACCAGGCACTGTGATAGACATTTTGCGTGTGGTATGTAACTTATTCTCTATAGCACCAGAGATACATATTTTTATCCTATTTTGATAAATATGAAAACTAAGAGACATAGAGGTTACTTAACTTACCAAAAGCTAGGCAATTAATAGGTAGGATCGGACTCCTGGTCTTCTGACTCCAGAATTTGTGCTTTTTTATTTTTATAATTTTGTTTTGATTTGGACACTAATTAATGGTAGAAATGAACACTTAGTATTATAGTACAATTAACTGGAGTGAACATTCTACAATTTCTAAAGCACTTGGTTTGTGATAAGCTCCTTCATGTGGTGCTTTGCCTGAGTAGCCTGAGCTACAAATATTTCTATTACATTAGCATTGTTAGGAGGGAATAAAAAGGTCCAGACTGTCCTTAGTCTTAATTCAATGGAAATGAAGACCTGTGTTCCAAATATAGCATAGGAATGTCCTCAAGTACTTAAATCCTGTGCAAGTTATTTATTGAATAAAAACATAGGATACAAAAGGCAAATATATTTCTACTCAAAACTTGTTGCTCATCAGCACTCAGTGCCAACAATATTAATTTGCTCCAGATGATAGTATGAATTATAAAATTATAAAGTTCATGTGATGTAGTGAGTTTTACAATGCATGATCATAGTGTTACTAGTTTTTGCTTACATTGCTAGATTCTTTTCACTAATATTTAGAATTTTTTTTTTGCCTGTGTACAAAGCTGACATTGGTCTATAGTTTTCTTTTTATTGCCTTATTAGACCAATAGGTTTATGTTTTGACCTTCTGTGTAGAATATAAAAATCACTGATTTCAGAGCATACCACCTGATTTCTGTATGCTTTATAAAGAGTATGATTTCAGTGACTGTCATATATTGATAACCAATTTGTTGTATAATGATAACTAATTTGAGTATATTAGTAACCAATGTATGTGTGTAAAAATATGTAAATACTATTATGTGTATATATTGTTTTGTATGCAAGTGAATATATATGTGCATGAATGAAAATAAAATATTTATTTTCCAAAGATTTTTTATTATGTGTAAAGTTATATAAATATGTGATTGTCAGGGATTTGCAAGTATTTTGAATATTATGAAGTGTTTGAAATCTCCTTTGCATTAATAATTCTGCTAATTTTATCATTGTTAATGTTACTTTATAAGAACTTTTCTTTCATAGTTGATAAATATGTGCATTGTCTTATGCATTTTTATTGTTTATAACCATAGAATATTATAGTTGTCTTCATCTCAGTTTCTTAAAGTAATTGAAATTATTTTCAATTGTAAGTTTCAATTTTTGATAAATAATTTCTTTGTGTAAAATTATCCTTCAGTCTTCTCCTGGCTTCTTTTGTATTGTCCTCTTCAGCTCACTTAGTTGATATATTATTCTTTTATCATCTTTCATTATTTTTCTTATTTTATTATTTGCATAATAATTATATATTATAATTTTATTCATTATTTTGATTCACTTATTACTCTTTTATCTTTTATTAATTTGAATGGTAAATATAATAAAATAATAATATGTCAACTAAGTGAGCCGCTTGATTTCTTGCACCTTGGAGTTTGGTTTGTAAGAAACTATAGTGATAATTGATAAATCTAAAGGAACAGTGAAAGGTTTAAGGAGTAGGGCAAGGGGTGGGGGTGAGAAAACATGAAAATTTAATACTGAGAGTTCATTAAAAAAAAAAAAAGACAAAGAGCCACAACAAAACATGCCATAAGCAAAGCAATACAAAGTATTAGCCAAGAATAGAATTCAGGGTTCAGTAATTAGATGAAGTAAACAATGTCTGAATCTTCTCCTGTTTGGAGATATCTATCTTCTTCTCCTCTTTGGCGATAAAATGTGCTTGATGTAAAGGGTTTAACATTTCCCATAACTATGGAACCTAAAGTGCAAAGAGCCAGAGGAATGAGGTCAAGCTACATTCACTTAGAAAATACCACGATGCAAAATTAGATGTTCAAATAAACATCCAATGTTTATGAAGCAAGAACTAACTGTAAATGAGATACAGAACCAGAAGTCAGAAGCCATAGGGAGTGAATTTGACAAAAGCAACTGGATCAGAATAGAAGAAATGGAGGATGTGGAACACTTACTAGGGATGTTATTTTTCCATGGTTTATAGATATTAAAGCATGTTTGTGACTTGTACAAATTAGGCTGGCATAAATACAGAACTGTGGGAGTTCAATTAGATCCAATTGTAGGAATACTTGTACACTATTATGATAGATTTTAAGAAAATCTGAATACTAATATGAAAGATTTTGCTAGGATGCCCAAGGATATTTAAAATTGGCTTTGGTATAGTTGTACCTTTACCTTGGAGTTTACTGCTGTTCTAAGCAAAATATATGTTCAGAGCAAACACAGCAATACTCCACTGGTGCTTTGACTTCAAATTCCTTATAAAATTATAGCAACCTAGGCTGGACTGTGTGGTAATTCTTTTATTACCTATACTTTGTTGGCATAAGTAGTCTTTTTTCATCTACTTCCTGTATTTCAAACATGAACTTTAGAAGGGATATAGTGTGAGAGATAGTCACACCCATGGGAGCCAAAAGGAAAGAGATGGGGGCATTTCCCAAAATATTTGTGTCAGAGGCAACCTAGCTCCCCTCTCTTCCTCCCTCCTCCATCCCCACTTTCTGTCACATACATCTGAGGCTTCCTTATACCAATTTAGTTTATATGTTGCAAGGAAGGAGAGAAAGTATCTGTGAAGGAAGAAAGTGATGGCCAGAAACCTTTACTGCTTCAACCATGTGGAAAGAAAAGGATCAGTTTATATGTTGTGAATGTCTATCTTTTTTGACTGTCCACTTCCTTGAGTAATGATCTAATCTTATTTTTAGAACTTGAGCAATACCCTTTCTTCTTGAGGCATAAAAATTGGAATTTCACACCCTCTGTCTTAATCTTATGGAGAAGGTGCCTGATTCTCCCTTGTTATCAGCAGAGGAGGAAAGTGATGTATAGGGTAACCATATACAACCTCTCTGAAAGGGATGTCTTTCTTGGAACCACTTCTAACATACTGAATGTTCACATCTTGTACTCTATGGCATTTTATACCTCCAGAAAACACCTGACATAAAAAAAAAAACCTAGCAGTTAGCCATACTAAAGTAAGATTTGTTTTAGAACGGCTGATTTGCTTGAATTCTAGAATATTTTTATTGATTTTTGCCTAGCTTCCAAAGATTAATATTTCTCATAACTAAGACTGATGGAACTGTATACATGCTATGTTCAGTGCCATTTTGTAAAATCAAATAAAATTAAATGTTCTCAAACACAATTCTCCCTGTGAACCCTTTCCATTAATTATTATTAAATATATTATTCAAAAGATTTAAATATGTATTTTTTAATCTGATGAGCTGTTTGTATTTATTATAATTTTAATAAGGATTCAAAAATTTAAACAAACTGACTTTTTAGTCATACCAGATAGGCCGACGTGGTGGCTCCCATCTGTAATCCTGGTACTTAAGAGACCAGGGCAGATGGATCAATTGAGGCCAGGAGTTTGAGACCAGCTTGGCCCACATTATGATAACCCGTCTTTACTAAAAATATATAAATTAGCTGGGCTTGGATGTGCCCTCCTGTAATTTCAGCTACTTGGGAGGCTAGGGTATGAGAATCACTTGAATCCGGGAGGTGGAGTTAGCAGAAATCACACCACTGCACTTTAGCCTGGGCAACAGAGTAAGACTGTCACACAGACACACACACACACACACACACACACACACACACGTGAAAAAAATGCATTAAGGCATAGTCAGCAAGATGTTAATAGTGTTCATAGTTAATACAATTTTAGATAAGTCTTGCTTTCTTTCTAAAGGTTTACACATTCTTTTTAAAAATTCAAATATGTTTTATTCACAAAATATTTTTGTTGTTGTTGTGGACAAAAAAATTTGCCTACATTTTTTGATAACGTATAGAAATATTGTCTTCAGGTACCTATGTTTTATATTTTATACCACATCATCAGTTCCCTTCTTTTTAATTCATAAACTTCGTTAGAGCAGTATTAGTTTCATAACAAAGTTGAGAGAGAAGTACAGAAAGTTTTCCTATATGCCACAATTGACGTCCTACACCACAGTGATACATTTATTAAATAGATGAACCCATAGTGAGACATCATTGCCACCTAAAGTCTGTAGTTTCCCTTGCAGTTCACTGTTGGTGTTGTACAGTTTTTAGGTTTTGACAAATGTGTAATTGTATTTATTTACTATTGTAGTACACAGAATTGTTTCACTGCCCTAAAAATTCTTTGTCCTTTGCCTATCCTTCTTACCTTACCCCGGTAACAACTGATCTTTTCACTGTCTCCACAGTTTTGCCGTTTCTGAAATGTCATATAGTTGAAATCATATAGTATATAACCTTTTCAGATTAGCATCTTTCACTTGGTAATAGGTGTTTAAGTTTCATCTATGGGTTTTCATGTGGCTTTGAGCACTTATTTTATTTTTAG